CCATTGGCATGCCGAATGCATCTTCGATGCACTGGCAGTGGGCGTTAGAGCAGTTGTTGCACCCCAGAGGTACATTCATCTGTCCATCTTCCTTGTTACTTTCGATACTAGTAGGCTGAACATCCTCCATTCGGGAGCTTCTGGTCTTGCGAGGTGGCAAGGGTACAGAGTCCGGAATGGGGGCAGGCTTGCTGACGCTAGTGCCAGTAAGAGATGACCGGAATTCCTTAACAAGGGCTTCCTTTGCGCTGCGCTCGATAGATACTTCCTTCTCCAAGGCATGGCATCGGTCGCGCCACCAGCCCATCTCCTCGCGGCACTGATCAACCTCACCGGAGAGGTTTCCAATTTGCTGTTGGAGCGAGGCGACTTCAATATCGTGGCTATCTTCAATCTCCTTCATTTGCTCTTCCAGTTCACTAACACGGGCGGCCCGACGCTCACGGAACGCTCGTTGAGCTGCTCGGTTCTGCGCTTTGCGTTTGGTTGGCGGTGTGTCTGTAGCTGGCTTGCGGCCAGGCTTGGGACGTGGTGGGATTACCCATTCTCTCGAGGTGATGGAGCCGGGTGTACCCGGTCCTGGAGAAGGGGCTACAGAGGGCCTGGCGGCCAGCGTGGGGGCCGGAGCGAGAGCCAGTGCAGGAACTCCAGCTGGAGCAGGTGTCATAGACACACCACTGGCCATTTTGACACCAGATTGATGTTCAAATACTGTGTTTGAGGTCAGTTGGGGACAACTAATCGGATGTGGTCGGGGCAAACGCACGAGCCGTTTCTCGGTCGGAAGAGCGGAAGTGCGCTCATATGAGCCGATAAGCGAAAAAGACCACCTGGGCAGTTGGAGAGGAAGAATGAGGAACGAGTATTCCTTCAAAATCTGTCCTGTATGGAATAATTAGACGAGGAATGGACACACAAATAGCATAGAAAAGTTAAAGAGAAGAGAAACATGCGAAGGGAGGGGGAAAGGCCGAGAAAAAGTGGCCGATGATCAGATTAGATTATGTGCTCACATGATGCCGGTTTCGGACATTGACCTTTCGGCTGTATACCATTTTGCCCTTCTTCCAGGGTTTGCTCTTCTTTTTTTTTTTCTGCTGATTTACGATTGGTTCATTTACTATGCTAAACCTAATCCCGCGAGGATCCCCTCTGAAATTTTTATCTGATCCGAATCTGAGTGGAGATGGTTCCGAGAAAGCGTTGGTGGGCTGACGCAACATTCTTTACTGTAAAAATATATTAAACTTATTTTCTTCGCTACCAGCGTGTACTGATTCCTCGACACAGCTCGAATATCAATTGCTTGAACTAGCTAGCAAAAGACAGCTGCAATAGCAAATGATTCCGTCCCAATTCTCAATTGCATACTCCGTAACGTGCTAAACTTCCTATGCAGCTCACCGTTCACCCGTCTGATCGTCGATGACTCAATGACAGACGACACGGATCAGAACTCTCCAGTCAAAGTAAAATTTGCTCGAGTGGAGCGTCTCGTCAATCCATTGACCATGGGTGGGCAAGACTCCCCCTACTTCCGGTCTACCAAGCCTGGAGCTATTACCTAGCAGAAACGGCGATTGGGCCAATGAGAACGTGCCAATGCGCAAAAGAACTTTTCCAGGAGTCATTCACCAGCGGTGAGAGTATGGATCGACATGGGAATTGGATCCCGTAGGGCCGCTCTCGGTCTCTCTGATCTTATCTGATTGCACTAACGCCTCTCGTCTCCAGGGCTGACCGCAATCCAAGGGTTGAACCGGACACCGGCAAAAATGTCTCTATTCCACTGCCGTATCTTTCCTCTCTGGGTGATTGGGTCGTCCTTCTGTAGAAATGGTTGGTGGTGGCCAACCTCGGAAGAACCCCCCACACAGCAGAATCTTATCAATCAGTGAATGACCTCGGGATGGTCCCCAACCTCATCCCGAGCGAGGGCCGAACAGCGGAACTTTCGTGTACATGGCCCGATCTGGAGAACACCACCGCTAGTTAGTCACAGCCAAAGCTGTTTGTGACGTGCGTATGCAGAGATTGACGGTGGAAAAAGTGGAATGCGTGGAAAGAAGTCGCCGCCATTGGACGGCACACCATCGCGTTTAGAGGCCCATTTTCGGCGATCCGAGAATTCGATCCACTATCCTCGGTCGTATCTTTTCAGTGCGATTATGATGATGAAACGGATACTCCGTAGTATAAACCGACTTGATGACGCAGTCTCTTCGTGAGATTCTAGCAATATCAGGGACCCACAATTCGCTCTTGATCTGCTGAGATAAATTAAAGTATAGAATCTAAAAATGAGCGAAGTGGATTCCAGCTGAAGCCGATCAATACAGAGCTCTCAATCTGCAAGGGACATGAACTCTACGTTGATACCTAGAATATCTCTAATTTTCTAGTATTTGATCCACAAAATACTCCTACTTTCCAGGTCCATTGGGAGTCAATGAAGTGTTGAGAAGAAAAAAAAAGTAATGCATTTCCTTCCATTGACGAGATCAGCTTGACCCCCTTGCCATTGAACGTTTCCAAGAGGCGGGTCAAGTGATGTATGTCTGAGGGGTAATTAGCACAGGCTAATAATCGCAAATTAATCGACATCAACGTAATAAACATTCACAACTCCGTTAATTGAGGGGCTCCTTCTGCTGGCGGAGCAGAGTGCTTGGTCTGCACGAAGACCTTCTGCATGCCCATCTCTCGTTTATTGAAAATCGCATACACTTTCTCCATGTCTTCCAGACGGACCCGGTGGGTCACCATATCCAGCGGATTGATATCGTTCTTCTGAATGAGATCCATAAGGTGCTTCCAATACTTGTGGACAGGAGCCTGCCCGTTACCCATAAGGTGAATACCTGTCTGCATCAGAGCCCCAATGTTAAAGTGATTGGTCTGAGAATGATTGTTAGATACTTCACTCTTCCGAAAACCGGTGAACTCACAAATCCGGCATAGACACCCGTCACCCCAACATGGCCGAACGGGCGAACAGCAGTAATCATCTCATTCAACAACTCCGAAGTATCCGTCTCCATCCCAAGCATCTGCTCGAAGTAATGCGCCCATCCTTTAGCGTATTCACCCGCTGCACACTCCAAAGCAACGTCGGGCCCGCCCTCGACCATCTTTTTTAGCTGTGATGTCACTGATTCGCCTCTGGGTAGATTAGTGAAGTTGATCGTCTCAACCTTTGGCGCTTTGGTCTTCACAAAGTCCAATCGCCATGCACCATCACCTCCGTCGATAAGGATGACTCGACTAGCTCCATGGAAGAAGCTGAACTGTGCACACATCTGCCCGATCGGTCCGGCTCCCCAGATCGCAACAACATCTCCTTCCTTCACACCGGTGTCGACCACACAGTGCCATGATGTTGCTATAACATCCGAGACATAAAGTGCCTTCTCGTCAGGTACTTCGGCTGGAATGGAAAGCAGATTGACGTCGCCGTATGGAACTCGAATGTACTCGGCCTGGCCACCGGCAAACCCACCTGTGAAATGAGAATATCCAAAGATGCCTGTTCCCAGTTTAGTATGAATCTCGGGACCCTCGGGGCCAGGTGAAATGCATATCGGCTACCCTGTTCAACTTACCTGCAGTTCGCTTGCCATACAAGGCATTGGTCAGAGTGTTCTCGTTGGTCCTATCACATTGAGAATAGTACTCTCTCCGACAATTCATGCAATCCCCACAGGCAATCGGAAAAGAAACAACAACTCGTTCTCCAACTTTGACCTTCTTTGACTCGGGCCCTATACTGTCGACAACTCCACAGCATTCATGGCCGAGCACGTCACCCTTCTCCAGCTGAGGAATAACCGCTTTGCCCGGCACAGTTGTGTCAGTCTACTCGCTCGCTCGGATGGTTGTGGGATTCTCTTCATACCGTGATACAGGTGAAGATCGCTACCGCAAATAGTGCTTCCTGTCACCCTGACAATCACGTCTCCAGGGTCAATCACCCGTGGCTTCGGCATTTGCACTAATCACAGTGATCAGCAATGCAAAAAGGGCTTAAACTGGCAATTGCCTCTCTCGCTTACCAACTTTGACTCGGTTCTTCCCTTGCCAGGTATTAGCCTGGATCATCTCTCCGGTCTCCACTCCATGTTCATTGTCATAGCTGGACACGTCGGTGGTGATTGTTGCATTATCACCGTGGCCAAGGCTCTTTTCTACCAGATTTGCTGCCTGGGTCATAGCCATTTTTGGATCTAATTGAGGGTATGTATGATTGGGAGATAGTGAGTTTATGTGTTCACTGTGTCCATGGGGGTAATAAGAATTTCCAGCACAGCTTTATACTCATCGAGCAGGTCCGCAGGTGTTCCTTGGTAATGTATGTAAATGACGAAACTCAAGGTTTGGGGGTTTTCGCTCAACTGACATCACCATGATGTCGGGTATGCGTCAACCAGAGCTATCCTTCATTTTGACGTCGATAATAATAATAATTGTCCAATCTGTCATAGATTTTGCTGCGTACTGAGCGTTATGTCTTCAGCATGTCATGGACCAAATTGAGCACATGAGAGTTCCTGGTGCGCAATACTCTTGGGATATATATCGGGGTTTAGTTGCAGAGAAATAGTATATTTCATGAGCGTTTCAAGATTACTTGACCTTTACATGGCATGAATACCAATCGCGAGGGAATATCATAGGCCCATTTTGAATATTTTCCTACAGCGATTTTCGAAAACAGTTCACTCTTTTAAGACACTCACACTTTGTTTCTCGGCCCGTACCCGGAACTACGCTAACTCTTTTCGGCTAATCCGTAAACTCCCTTTCTTCCTTTCCTTCCGTACATGTAGCCATCATTTTCATGTTCCTCTCGAATCGTAGGGAGACATCTAGAGCTATAAGAAGGCAGTTAACAGAAGAATGTAACGACCCTGTAAATGTCACATACATCCATGTGGAAATTATATTATGTACCATAAATGGAGGCCATTTACATATTCGAGATGATAATGAGAAAAAGGGTATCAGACAGCAATGATCGGACAGCGATCATGATCCATGACATTGAACCAGCTTATTGTGTAGTCCATCCTCTCTTGTCGCAGTTTCCACACCTGCTGAACAATGTCGGCAGCAGCGGTAAAAGCGGAAATGGAAGTACGAAGCCCAGTAGAAGTAATCCAATCGAGTAGACTTCTTTGCAAATTCGGATCCAGGGCTTCGCATGCTGCAATGAAGGCGGGCCAAAGTAGCGAGGCTCTGTAATGTTCATCTGCCATGGCAGACTCCTCGCTTTTCTTGATGAAGTCAAGCACCTTTAGGACTGTATCCTGAAGAATCAAAGCATTGATGTTGTGCATTCGTCGATAGTAAAACAGAATCAAACCCTGATGCACAGCTAAACTCAAGTAGTAGCCTGCTCTTGCCTTCGCGTGTTCACGACCCAACGTCGACGAACTGGCTTCTTGAGTACCTGGAACTTCCATATCTCGCTTCCAAGAGAGAACCTGGTACTCCAGAATCTTCGTCCTTTCGTTCAGGGTCATGACAATATCAAGGTCAAGGCTCGTATCGCGATGCAGCAGCTCTTGTTCATTTGCTAAACGGATGGTCTGGGATAAAAGGCCCACCAAAGACTCCGGCAGGCCGTACATCTCTTGGAAGAGTGAATCTTTCCAGACCCCCAGTACCTCCAAATGAATGTCATTATGTCCAATATCAAGGGCCTTTTCCACGGATGCATTTAAATCAGATATCGTGCTATCATCTGCCACACGGAAACTTCGTAAGGAATGAAAGGCCGCTTCGTTAGAGACGAGCCTGGTGCTGGGTCGTGCAGGACATATATCCAGAAGAGCACAGCCACATGTGCTTTCGGCCATTATGCGTATATAAGTGTAGACGTGATGGAGAGTGCGAACTTTGAGTGATTTGTGAACTTTTGGTAGGCCTCTTTTCCGAATTAGGCATTCCGATTCTACCAGAAGATTCTGGGCGTCGGTATAATTTCCACAGGTGACCTGAATACACAGAATATTAGCATAAATGCCAGTGACATGCTAAGATTTCGGGTGGATGGCACCTCGAGCATCACTGTTGATAACAAAGCCATTAGCAATTCCTTGTATTTTACTCGCGTGTCCGAGGCTATCTCTTGTTGGATGCTAAGCTCGAGATGATGCCTGGAAATATGCTTGTATTGCTTTCCGAACTTGTCCCAATCTAAGGTTGTGTCGTTTCTCGAAGAGATATGGAGACAACTGGCAGCTAGGAGAGAATAGAACAAAGACAAGCCTGTGTTGCTAGCAGTTTGATGAAGTAAAAGTTCCGCATATGCTTTCTCAGCTCTGGGGAGATGAATATTCTGCCAAGGACATTTTTTGCTGCCCTTGAGAGGGAACGAAAGTGAGACAATTTGATTTTTGAAATAACGCAAAAGCTGCGGTGCTCGTTCCGGAATGACGTGGGAAGCGGGGGGTACAAAAGGCGAGAAGGGTAAGACTGGGGAGAGAATATGTCCCAGAGAAGGTGGATATGAAGCACCGTTCTCTTGATTGTTACTGAAATGAACCAAGGTCCCGATTCCCGGAGTGGAGCTTTCATTTGGCGAGGAAACCAGGGCATGATTATGAGGACTAGAGATAGAAGACTCTGGCGTCCAAAAATCAGGTCGTGCCTCATTAGCCGGTGTTATCTCTGAGGATTGCCATGGTATTGCTGGCTGCGGCTTTTGGGGCCTTGCTGGACGCGGGCTCGATTCCGTGAACTCGTTTGGCGGGGCCTTATCTGTGGTGACATTTAAAACACCGAAGGGACCCTGAAACAAGCTCTCCGACGAGCTGGTAGTTTGGGAACTAACTTCGCGATTCAATATTTCAAGGGCTTCATTCGCAGTCTGGTTTCGAAGACTCTTGACGGTCTTTTGCGCCATTAACTTTTGTTCATTCTCTGTCGTTTTTGTTAGGTGCAATTCTGCACAGGGCTAGAACAAAACCTACCTGCAAATAATGGACGCCGAAACACACGTTCCTGAGGTTCCTCCTTCTGTTGCGATTCCGACTGTAAGTGAGTATACTGGGTCCATTTCAGCTGACCTCGGTAACCAGGACAGGGCACACCTAGTGTGAGACACATCTGGCAACCGGGACGAGTCTCATCGCATTTCAAATGTCGAGATCGGCACGTGCCGCAGCCTGTGAGACAGCGAATGCGTGGTATCATGATGCAGCCATTCGTCGTTGAGTGGCCTAAATGAGATGATGGTCAAGAAGGAAACCGGGACCCTAAAGGGCAGGACATAACGATTAGTCATACGGGGGCAATTCCAAGGTTTCTTCCAAGGTTGTCACTACTGTGTACCCTCCAGGGCTGGTTCCCCATGTATAGTACAACCAATCGTAATGAGAACTGTCATTTTAATTTACTGTGATGCGAGCTTCTAAAACAAATTATTTGTGCGGCACTTGGATCAACGAAATTCCGCATCACCACTACCAACTCTCTTCGCGGTATTCCTGAGAGCGAAGAGCCAATTTGCTACCTTCAACTTAATGATTTTCCCGAAAAAAGATTACGACGATAGCATCAAAGAGGCTTTTATGCTTCTGAGTTCAATCATTTATGGACGGTGTGCTAAACAATTTGACCAGCTAGCCCACTTGATAAAGACCAATAACCGAATCAATCTATACATACGCCCCCCAAAAATTATTATTTCACATTCATGTGATCATGCCAGCTTCTCCGAGGATTTATTGCCAGAGACAGCTGCCTCCGCCAGTATCGCTCGTCGAATCTCCTCCTCTAAACTCGGACCCTGAGGGCTCCACCCGAGCAACTGACGGGCGCGATCGCCTGATGTTCGAGCATTTGTTCCCCAAAGAACAGAACCATGCGCAATGAGCCGGTCTGCTGTCTCAGCATCGATTTCCTGGGTATGGGGCGACTTAATAAGGCCCTTCGAATAAGCAAAAGAGGACATCTTCTTCGCAATATCGCGATACGACTAATCGAAGCATGAGAGCAGCGGTCAGCCAAGTGTTTTATATGTCAGTATATGCTCTTAGTGACCTACCAGTCCTCCCGCCTCGGGGAAATAGATCCCGTTCGCATTCCACAACGGCTGATTGGTCGAACTGGAAGCCTCTGCGACCAGCGACACGATCAGACGCGTGATGTCCGAGATATGAACATGGCTCCAAGTGTTAAGGCCCTTCCTGACGTGGAGGCCTTGCCCATGCTTCAAGGTTGCCTTTGCTAAGTCCGGGATTTGGATGCTTCGTTGGTTGACAGGGCCTCTTCCCAAGCCGTAAATCATAGGCCCATATACAATCGCTGTCCGGACGGAAGGTTGACTGGTAGACAGGCTGGTAATAAGCTGATCTACAACCCTTTTGGGGGAAGAGTTGATGATATCTCGGACTTCAGAAATTCCTGCTAGGTCGTTATAAACCTTAGAGCGGGCTTCGCCATAGCTGTTATTCACGATCTCCGGCCCAGAAAGAAGACTAGCCCCGGAAATCTGAATCCAAACTAATTGATGTTAGATTTTCGTGTGTCGAAGGTGCGTTTTGGAGTATGCTACCTGGGTTTTGTCGCTGCGTTTTCGAAAGACCGTCTACAATAGCTCTCGCACTAGGAATATGGTTGGAGCTAGCCAGATCTGTTATTTATAGTTAGTACAATCTAAAATACACGCTCAATGTAAAAGGCTCGTGCAACTTACGGAGGACAACATCGGCCTGGGAGACCTCATTTTGAATTGCAGTGGTAGAATCCAAGTCTCCAATCAGCGGGGTGACAGATGGGTATTTCTCAGTAATCCGTGTTGCACGAGACTCATTTCGCACTAAAGCCACAATTCTTGAAGCAAGTCGCGCTTGTGTAATACCGTTGAGAACATCGCCGCCAATGTAGCCAGAAACACCTGTTCTTCAGAGCGCGTAAGTATAAATTGTCCATGAACGCTCATTTGGGTGTAAGTCCAGCGGGGCTCATACATGAAAATGCGAGTCATGTTTTCGGTAAGTTCTTCTCCAATGTTAAAACAGCTCAAGACAAAATCACTGTAGAGAAAAGCACAACCAAAAAAAGTTCGATCGAAAGAAGCAAGGATTCTTATACCAGTCCCTTGTGATAGATTATGATAGAATGTCGAAACGGCTTCTCTTATGTAATCGGTATATCCTGCCCACCTGGGCAGCTGCCTCCAGGGCTTTTTAGAATCAAGGATTGATAGTCCCCTGTGATAGGTTATGATAGATTGTCATCTAACTACCTCGGGAAATGGCTTCTATTATGTAATCGGTATATCCTGCCTTTCCAGAATTAAGGATTGATAAGCCGAAGTCGAATCCATGGATGGAGCCCAGAAAAGTGGAGATAGTACCTACCCACTCCAAAAGGAATCTTATCCCCTGATTTTGACGTAAACACATACACCTTGAAATACTATCTTGGAGAACGGCTAAGGCAATGGGGGACCCGGAAGAGGAAGTTGATTCCATTTGTCGCGGCTGAGGAGGAGACAAACCATGGATGATGTTGAAGAGCAATATATAAAGCGCGGAAATCTCGCATTGGTCAGGAATGTGATACTCTGTACGCTCTTCTCTTTTACTAGCCTCCCTCGAAGGATATCAACGTACAATTGACAACGATGTCGACCCCGAAATTCTCAACAAAATTCCCAACAACCCCACGCCTTGGTCACTATGATGTGGTAATTGTCGGGGGTGCTACCAGTGGCTCGTCTATTGCCTGGCACTTGCAAACCACAACAGGCTTCCACGGCTCCGTCCTCGTCGTCGAGCGTGACCCGTCATTGCAGTTCTCTGCAACAAAGGCAAGCAACAACTGTATGCGGCAGCAGTTTGCTACCAAGATCAATGTGGAAATCGCCCAGTATGCTGCCGCATTTGTCAAGCGCTATGGTTCCAACTTTGGTTATGATCCATGTGTGCCAGACGACCCGATCCGAAACTTCGGCTATCTTTACCTCTCCGGTTCCCAGTCATTCACAAAGGTTCTCCAAAAGGACCAACAGGTCCAGGCGGATTGTGGTGCAGGGACCGACATTATCTCTGCGGAGGATGTCAAGCGGAAATATCCATTTTTCTACACTGGTGACCTCGATGCTGGAAGCTTGAACACCAAAGATGAAGGGGCCTTCAATGCTATTGGTATGGTTGAATGGATGCGAAAGTCGGCGCAGGAAAGTGGCGTCGATTACATCAACAATGAAGTCATTGAGATGGTTACAGACGGACCCCAAATTCAGAGTATCAAGCTACGCAGTGGCGAGAGTATCTCAGTCAACACCGTCGTCAACGCTGCCGGTACTCGCGCTGCCCAAGTCTCCAGGATGGCGGGCATCGGTTTACCAATTGAGGCTCGACGACGCTATACTTATATCTTCTCGGTCGACGACCCACTTCCTCAAGATCTTCCTCTGACTATTGATCCTACGGGTGTCCATCTCCGGTCTTACGGACCAAACGATTATCTCGTTGGTTGCCCACCAATTGGTCCTGACGTCGCGGTGGACGTTGATGATTTCAGTTTTGCAGAGAATGCTTGGGACGAGAAGATCTTGCCAATCATTACTCGCCGAATTCCTCAGTTCAATACCGCACGGGTTACTGATTCCTGGATGGGCCATTACGAGTTCAACACGTTCGACCACAATGCCATCGTTGGAGCACACGATACTATGAAAAACCTTTACTTTTGTGTCGGCTTTTCTGGGCATGGAAGTCAACAGGCACCGGCTTGTGGTCGCGCTGTGGCAGAGTTGATTGTGTACGGTGCGTTCAAAACCCTGGATCTCAGCGTTCTTTCGTATTCGCGGATTCCGGAGAATCGTCCTTTAACGGAGCGAGCGGTGATTTAAAGGTCATTCCGGCACCGAATGCGCTGTTAGACTTTTCCATGCCTATGGGGATGTGGGGGAAACAGCGCTCACACACTACATACCGCACATAATGGTTTAATAAGTGGCCAGTGTTTTTCACATCTAAATATATCTCTGTTATACAACACAAATAAAAGGATCACTTCCCAGTATTTCATTTAATCATTCCGGTATGTAGGAGAGGATGTAGTGTATGTGAGGGCATGCGCCTAGTAGGTAGGCTTAGAGAGGTGAACTGGAGATTGGAGGTTGGAATAACACCCTGAATAGAATATTGCTATATATCCTTGATTGAGGCTACTATCCCTGAGACAAAACAGTGGGGAAGCCCATCAATTAAATGAGGGGTAAACTGTTTTCGAAAATCGCTGTAAATCTTGTCTTCGCAGCAGATTTACTAGAACCACTCTGGAAGCAAATGGCGTCATAGGGCTTGGTTTCGATGTATGTGATTTGTAGGTCCGAACCAAGCATTTACCAAGCCAAATATATTGTTAAGACAATTTTACTAGCATCTTCCTACCTATATGGAGGTACAATTTGACCTATAAGAAAAGAATAGTTATGTAGTTGTCAATAAACCGACAGCTGAATCCGTTATCACCGGACTCGGCGATAAGCCAGGGGGCACACCTGGGCATTCCAAGGTTGGGTCAGGTACCAGCCCCCCGTCGGGACTCCGCCTTTTCCCCTCACGAGTCATTCTCTCCTCCAACTCTTTCCTCTTCCCTACACTCATACAATCCAATACTACATTTACAATATGACCAGAAAACACAGCTCGACCCAAGGCCTCGATATGCCGTGGGCTTCACAAATGTCCGCCCAGCTGCCCAGTGCGTTCATGCCTGTACCTGCAGCACTGCCAGTCCGAGCTCAGGAACCGATCGCCGATGAACCCGTCCGACCCGAGGATTACTCCAAGCCATACTGCGAGTTCATGACATCCAATCCCACAATTTTCCACGCCGTCAAATCCTTCTCCAAGCAGCTCGAAGAGCATGGCTACAAGCACCTCTCCGAACGAGCGGTGTGGACATCCGAGCTGAAGCGAGGCGGCAAGTTCTACACTTCCCGCAACGGCAGCTCTTTGATCGCTTTCAACATTGGTTCCAAATACGAGAGCGGCAACGGCGTGGCTATCGTTGCTGGCCACGTCGATGCCTTGACTGCCAAGCTGAAGCCCGTGTCCAAGCTACCGACCAAAGCAGGCTTCCAGCAGCTCGGCGTTGCCCCGTACGCCGGTGGTCTCGGCGATACTTGGTGGGACCGCGATCTTGGTATCGGTGGTCGCGTGCTCGTCCGCGACCCGAAAACTGGCAAGGTGGAGACTAAGCTGGTCAAACTTGACTGGCCTATTGCTCGTGTGCCTACCCTTGCTCCCCATTTCGGTACTCCTGCGAATGGCCCGTTCAACCAGGAAACCCAAATGGTTCCTGTCATCGGGATTGATAACTCTGATTTGTTTGAACACTCTAAGATTGAGGCGAGCAACACTAATTTTGGCAAATTTACCTCGACCCAGCCTGAGAAGCTTGTGAAGATCATCTCCAAGGAGCTTGGAATCACAGACTACAGCACTATTGTTAACTGGGAATTGGAACTCTTTGATACCCAGCCCGCTCAACTCGGAGGTCTTGAGAAGGACATGATCTTCGCCGGTCGCATTGACGACAAGCTCTGCTGCTATGCTGCACAGGAAGCGCTCATTGCTTCCTCGGACAGCACATCGACCGGGACCGTGAAGATGGTTGGTATGTTCGATGATGAAGAGATTGGCAGTTTGCTCCGGCAAGGTGCTAAGTCGAACTTTATGGGCAGCGTCATTGAGCGGATTACCGAGGCCTTCGCGAAGGACAACTACGGGCCCAACCTCCTTTCCCAGACAGTGGCCAACAGCTTCTTGGTGTCATCAGACGTCATCCACGCAGTGAACCCGAACTTCCTTAATGTCTACCTGGAGAACCACGCGCCCCGCCTTAACGTTGGCGTGGCAGTGTCTGCCGACTCAAATGGCCACATGACTACCGACAGCGTCAGCGAGGGCGTCATTAGGCGAGTTGCAGAGCGCTGTGGGTCAACCCTGCAGGTCTTCCAGATTCGGAATGACTCTCGCAGCGGTGGCACCATTGGACCCATGACCAGTGCCCAGATCGGCATGAGGGCCATTGACTGCGGTATCCCGCAGCTGAGCATGCACAGTATCCGGGCGACTACTGGCAGCTTGGACCCCGGCCTGGGTGTCAAGTTGTTCAAGGGATTCTTCGACCACTACGAAGAAGTCGATAAGGAGTTCGCCGACTTTTAAATCGATAATTCCGCACTTTGCTTTAGACAATATAGAGCCCTTTCTCCTTTGTGCATGCCTGTTATAGGCGGGTTGTCTCGTTATTCTACGCTTGGAGCGTGTATTGGACTACAATGAAGTGGCTATATTCTGTGACTATTGCTCTTCCAACTCTCGGTATTAAGTTATCTGTTTGATTCGGTTGCTGTACCTCGACTATCTATATATCCAAGAATTTCCAAACCTACATTCCACATTACTATATCTTTAAAATGACATAAGAAATAAAAAATGTGTGTCCCACGGGTGTACCCCACGGGGTAATCATGGCCCGACAGCCGCCAGGCCCAAAGAGCGTGTGCGAAACCAAAAAAAAAGCCGACGGGTATATGACATTATACTCCAAGCCACCAACCTGACTGCAAGAGCCATTCAAACATTAAATGCGTGTTTATACAGCACCAGACCTTCAAAACGGCACCGATGTCTCCGCAGGCAAAGGATGTGGATGCGTCAGGGTATTGGGACGACTGAGAGGCGCATGAACCGAAGCAATCTGAGCCAACTTCTTCTCTTCCTCTCTCGTCCAGCGCTTAATACTAGACCTGAAGCCGGTACCAGGAGCAAGAGCGAGAACGCGCTCTGGGTCACCAGCGCCGTACTCGTGTTCTTCGCCGGCCGTGCCGAGGGTTGATGCATCACCGTTCCATTCTGAGTTGCGCTGGGTTGTGTCTCCGCGGGTGAGACGGCTGGCGTTAAATGTCGATACCATGCTTGGGAAGAAGCGGGCGACGAGGGGTTTTAGGGTTGGAAGACAGGCGCAGATTATGCCTGTGTTGCATTCGATCGCGGACCAGGAGGCGGCGCCGACGTTGTCGTCTGGTTTGTTGGGTTAGCTTGGTTTGGGGGTGTGGTAGGGCTGAGGGATATGATACGTACAGGTGGGATCTGATGACTCGGCGATTTGTTTTAGGCTAATTAGACGGATGATACTGGTGATGCAGACACTAGAGTGTGTTATGTTAGTTCTGCTGCAATGATGTCTGAAAGAGGATAACTCACAAGCCACCCAGAGCGAACATGAGCATTAAAGCGATCTTTTGTTTTCGGGGCAAGTCGACTGCCATTAAAGCCGGGATGGGAATGATTAGGATGGCAACATCGGTCGAGATATGCATACTAGCATTGGAGAACCACAGTTTGGTCTTATCCAAACAAAAACCCTGGATTGAATCGTCCCAGAATTTGGCGACGGGAATGCAGTTGAGAAATGCACTGATCACTGCCCATGTGCCATAAATAGCGAGGACGGTAATCATGACCCAGCAGACAACACGCATGCGGTGCGTTGGGAAGACTCGGAAGTACTGCATCAGAATCGAGGCTTTGGCGCAGAGAACGGCGGCGTTGTAGAATGGAATGGTGAGCCAGAAGGCCTATTTGTGTTGGTGGTTAGATGTAGTTGATAGCCGACGACCCGGTTTAGGGCAAGCTTACCTTCATCTGTCTCTCGAGAATGTCCGGTGGGATATCTTTCAGATGCACTCCCATGCCGCTGACGGCTTCGATAATGTCGAGGGCCATGAAGACATATGAATTCACCTATGCATCTACATTAGTATTTGGCATTCTTCGGTATCAATATCAATCACCCATCTTACCAGGGCGATAACGACCATCCAGTCATTTGCTTCCACTCGATTCATAAGGTTCATACGAGTATACATCCTCATCGCCACGAAGCAGGTTGCCAAGGCTGTGAACACAACGCTTATAATCAAGCCCTGCTCGCCCCGGGAGGACATGAATATGCCGTCATTATCTCGCCTGAAGATCACATCTCGAATGTACAACAGATTCATAGTCAATGGATCTAGCGGCTTTGGAAAAACGAAGGAATGGCTACTTCTCAAAGAGAAGATTGCCCGGGGGATAGTCTAACGATCAGATCAATATACGATCTTGATCTGATTAACGACTGAGTTAGGGCACAAAGGAACGATAAGAGAACAACCTCTCCACTAAGGAGCAAAAAGTCCGAGAGGATATCGCCGTAATATAATCCCAAGCGCATAAAGCTCATATGCAGCGTCGCCATAAACAATCCATGCAGCCCCAGAAACCAAACGGCCTAGGAACGAATCCACTATCCCTTTTTGAGAGAGAAATAGTACCAATTCCCTAAAAGGACAGTCATTTTATCTCTCCTCACTCCTCGGATGAGCGGGCGAGTGCTTTTGACGCGAGACAGGATCCCCGTCTGGGAAGCGTGTTTGCAGCAGCGTGCAGCGCAAGGGGCCCCATACAACGAATCGGGTCCAGCGTTGGGCCCGATGGACTCGATATGTGCATCTGTACTCCGTAGTAACTACAACTCTATGATTATTCTTTGTTGTTTTTTGCTTTTGCCTGGTTTTCTTTTTTTTTTTCTTTGAACCTGGTGGCTGTGGCTGCAATTTACATAAGAGCAAATTATAGTTTGCAGGGTCTTTGATATATCAATTTCCCGCACCTTATTTTGAGACCCCAGAAACATTCACCCCTTCCGTCTCACTGGCTCGGAATGGTAATAATTCCAATATATTCCTGTCGATCCCTCATAAATGAGCCGCTTTACTTACCGATCGGATCGGGACTGCACTATAGGCTATTCTTGCCTTGTTCTGTTGATTGACGCACGGCAAACTATACT